CCATGGATTTTTATTCCAGAGTTCCCATTTCCCGGGAAGGCACTTCTTTTTCCCCGTTGCTAAACCAAAGTACAAACCTTTTTTTTTGTTTTCCCTCTCTCATGTTTCTGATTTCTGAATTTAGATGCAATGTGGCAAATGAATTTGGGGTCAGAAGAAACAATGGTTGGTGATGGGTCGTGCCCTAAGCGGGCAGATTGTTCTTATTACATACGGACTGGTCTTTGTAGGTTTGGCTCAACTTGTCGGTTCAATCATCCTCACGATCGGAAACTGGTACTGATTTTCCCTGTGTCTGTGGCTGACCATTTGTTGCCTTACCGCTTTGTTACTTTCATGTTGGCTCAAAGTTTGTAGCTTTGGGATTAGTAGTTGATAAAATAATCAATTCTCATGTCGAATTGTGTAGGTTATAGCAACAACAAGGATTAAAGGAGAATACCCTGAAAGAATTGGTGAGCCTGAATGCGAGGTAACTAAGTTTGGGATCGGCGAATGATTTATTAGATGAATGTTTGAAATCAACTGAGTTGTTGTCTTCTTGTTACCACATTGTCTCCAAACCCGCACGAAGAAGATAGTTTTCGCTTATTTGAGTTTTGAGTACTATCTTCTCTGTCTTTAAATCATTCTTATGCGATGTCTGCGCAGTTTTATCTTAAGACAGGAACTTGCAAATTCAAAGTGACTTGCAAGTTTCATCATCCTAGGAACAAAGCTGGGACTGGTGGAAGAGTATCACACAATGTCTTAGGCTATCCTCTACGTCCAGTATGTACCATTTCACACTCAAATCTCATCACTACTTTGTAAGAGTTTCCTTTCACATGATTCTGTTTCGCAGGACGAAGATGATTGCTCTTACTTTTTGAGAACTGGACACTGTAAATTTGGGGGAACTTGTAAATCTAACCACCCTCAGAGTCAATCAACCAACTTGATGGTTTCTCTTCGGGGATCTCCGGTTTACTCTGCTCTTCAATCTCCAACTGGTCAAGAGTCTTATTCTTGCTCGAGAGCATCTTCAGTATCTCAAGGAGGTCTCTTCTCGTCCCTGTTTCATTCGGGAAACTCTGTTCCGCTCGGGTACTATGCATTGCCCCGAGAGAATGTGTTCCCGGAAAGACCAGGCCAACCCGAATGTGAGTTCTACATGAAGACAGGAGATTGCAAATTTGGAGCAGTGTGTAAATTTCATCATCCTAGAGGCAGACAAACCCCTGCTTCTGACGGTGTCTTAAGCCCAGTTGGCCTCCCACTACGCCCGGTAAGCTAACAAAACACTCCTGATTCTTTCCTATCTAGTTTGGTTCAGTTTTAAGCATTCGTAATCGAATTAAAACCGTTTACTTCTTCTTAGGTCAGTTGGTTTGGAAATTTTCTCATATAAATTTTGCTTCGGTTACTTTAAATCCGTTCTTGGCTCAATTTTTGGGTATGAAATCAATGAATTCGATAAGAATGTAAACAAATTGTTGTTGTGTTTTCTTTTCTGGACAGGGAGAACCATTGTGCGTGTTCTATTCGCGGTATGGGATCTGCAAGTTTGGTCCAAGCTGTAAATTTGATCACCCGATGCGAGTTTTCACTTACAACAACAATGCA